GTAATGGTAAAATACTGGATTCAGGCTATGATGTTTCAACAGCAAATACAATTGCACTTCTGTGGAAGTGTTTCTGTATCCTGGATGCCAATGCTAGGAGGCTCACTGCAGCTGAACACTGAACAAAGCAATTTTGGTGTCCAGCCATACGCTAGGGATTTGATTTTGGGGTGCATACTTAAAAAACTATCAACCTTTCTTGCACTATTTTGAAATTGGTTTTTAAATTCTTAGGAACTTCACTACTATTTTTAACACCTAAATGCTTTTTTTTAATACGGTTAACATAATTTCAAGTATTTGGAAACTGCATCTTGAGTAGGAATCTGTTGTGTCAATCTTTCAGGAGCAATTTCCGCCTAATAAACTTGTTGATACATGGATGTTAATAACAGCATTTATATTTTTTGTGTTCAATAAATGTGATGAACATCATTAGCACATGAAGGAAAAATGAGCTCCAAATACTCTGTCAGAGATTTGCAGAAGCATTTTTGAAGTCTTTTTCCTTAAAGTTTGAAGTTCTAATATTCATGCTGCGTTTTTATAGTCTAAAGTTCAGCATTTCTGCTCTGCAGCCATTTCCTATGAATACAACCAAGACAGGGAATTGCACATCTTGGGATACTTAGTTTCCAGTTGGAGTTGTAATAGAGGCTTTCTGTGCACAGCAAACTTGGACAAAAGACTGAATAAGATATGTTATTTAACCTTCTTTTACCTAAGTTCCCTGGGGCCTGGGTTAGAGACGTTACTAGGAAACTACCTGGTGTGGTTCGGCCCTCTGATTATTATCCACTATTAGTTGTTCAGGTTGGTAGTGATGAGGTAGCACAGTGAAGTCCAAAGGCAATCAAAAGGGACTTCAGGGCACTGGGGCGATTAGTTGAAGGATCAGGAGCACAAGTAGTGTTTTCCTCAGTCCCTTCAGTGGCAGGGAAGAATACTGATAGGAACCAGAAAACACACCACATTAAGACATGGCTCAGAGTATGGTTTTTGAATTTTGGGATTTTTTTATCTTGGGGAGGTTTACACAGCACTGAGCCTTCTGGCAGCTGATGGAATTCAACTTTGTCAAAGGGGTAAAAGGATCTCTGCACATGAGTTGGCAGGGCTCATCGACAAGGCTTTAAATTAGGTTTAAAGAGGGAAAGGGATAATACCAGGCTCACTAGAGATGAGCCAAGGGGTGGCATGCCAGTGTTGGGGGCGAAATCGATAATCCAACTCAAGTGCATCTACACCAATGCACGCAGTATGGGCAATAAACAGGAAGAGCTGGAAAACATCGTGCAGCAGGATAGCTATGACCTAGCTGCCATCACAGAAACATGGTGGGATGTCTCTCACAACTGGAGTGCTGCAATAGACGACTACATGCTCTTCAGAAAGGACAGGCAAGGAAGGAGAGGCACTGGGATGGCTTTGTATGTTAGGGAGTGTTTAGATTGCATAGAGCTAAACGGTTGTGATGACAAGGTTGAGTGCTTATGGGTAAGGATGAGGGGGAAGGCTAACGAGGCTGATATCCTGCTGGGAGTCTGTCACAGACCACCCAGCTAGGATGAAGAGGCAGATGAAGCATTCTACAAGCAGCTAGAAATATTACCTTCACCAGCCCTTGATTTTGTGGAGGACTTCAACCTGCCAGATGTCTGCTGAAGATACAACACAGCAGAGAGGAAATAGTCTAGGAGGTTTCTGGAATACACAGAAGATAACTTTCTGATGCAACTGGTAAGTGAGCCAACCAGAGTGGTGCCTCGCTTGACTTGCTGTTCACAAACAGAGAAGGACTGGTGGGAAATGTGGTGGTTGGAGGCTGCCTTGGGCTTAGCGACCATGAAATGATTGAGTTCTCAATTCTTGGTGAGGTAAGGAGGGGGTTTAGTGAAGTGCTCCCTCGGTAAGTTTGCAGATTGTTGATCTGCCCAAGGGTAGGATAGCTCTACAGAGGGACTTGGACAGGCTGAATCAATGGGCTGAGTTCAACAGTATGAGATTTAACAAGGGCAAGTGCCAGGTCCGCACTTCAGGTCGCAATAACCCCATGCAGCGCTACAGGCTTGGTGACAAGTGGCTGGAAAGCTGCCAGGCAGAAAAGGACCTGAGGGTACTGGTTGACAGCAACTGAACATGAGCCAGCAGTGTGCCCAGGTGGCAAAGAAGGCCAGCAGCATCCTGGCTTGTATCAGAAATAGTGTGGCCAGCAGCAGCAGAGAAGTGATTTTGCCCCGTACTTAGTATTGGTGAGGTGTTCAGTTTTGGTCCCTTCCCTACAGAAAGGACACTGAGGCACTGGAGCGTGTCCAGAGAAGAGCAACAAAACTGATGAAAGGTCTGCAGAACAAGCCTTATGAGGAGCAGCTGAGGGAACTGGGATTATTTAATTTGGAGAGAGGAGACTGAAGGGAGACCTTATTGCTCTCTACAACTACCTGAAAGGAGGTGGGTGTTGGTGTCTTCTTCCACGTAACCCGTGATAGGGCAAGGGGAAATGGCCTCAAGTTGCACCAGGGGAGGTTTAGATTGGATATTAGGAACAATCTCTTTACTGCAAGAGTGGTCAAACAGTGGAACAGGCTGCCCAGGGAGGTGGTGGAGTCACCATCCCTGGAGGTGTTCAAGAAGCACGTAGCCATGGCACTTGTGGACGTGGTTTAGTGGGCATGGTGGTTTTAGGTTGATAGTTGGACTTGATGATCTTGGAGGTCTTTTCCAACCTTAATGATTCTGTGATTCTGTAGGTTTAACTCCATGGGACTATTTCCCCTACATAAAGGCGTGTGCTAAGTTCATGTTTGTATAGTGCTTATACCTTTTGATGGGAGTTTCTTCAGAGTTGCTAAACATTGTCACTATTATTGAGTAATAAACAAACAAGTTATTTGTGCCAACAGTCCAAGACCTACCTGGGCACTATTTTGTACTATGGTGTGAGGAAATGGTTTTATTTTATTTTATTTTATTTTATTTTAAATGCCAGTATTTATCCGAATTTCAAAAAGTATTCCAAGTGAAGTGTTTTTAATCTACCGTTATTAAAGCACCTTAAAGCAAAACAATTCAAGCACAGAAAAAAGACTGTGCTTACAGAAACCCTTCTGAATGACCATACAATATTTTAACAGATCCAGTCAGAGCAACTTTCAACTCTAGCTGTAATATAATAAACCAGGACACTGCATTTGCTTTGGAGCTTTTCCTAATGGTCTCATATCTTCCAGAATCCTGTAAAGAAATTAAAGCTTTCCTGTATGAGAGAAGGTCAGGATAGAGCTTGATCACGCTTCACAGCTTTAATGAATATCAAAGTTTCAGTACCTGGACCTTTGCTGATCTCAGCTGTGCCTCAACATCAGTGGCAGAGAGGTGGGCAACAAAATATTTGGAAACTAACACACTGCATAAGGGCATGAACTACCTGACTGTGTTCATAACAGCATAGTCTTCTCAGCATATTCAATCCTGCATCTTTTCTTAGTCAATTCCAGCTTTCAGTGAATCTAAAACTTTGGTGTAGAAAAAAAGTACAACAAACAAACCCAGTAGGTAATATGTTATTTCAGCACAACAAAGACATGAAATAAAGCAGAGAGAACGTCCTTCCTTGGATGCAGACCTGCTAAAAAAGTTCTCAAACAATGAGCAATGTGGGCACAACCTCCATCGAGCACTCTGATAAAATCACCTCCACAGATGTTTTTTCTCTGCCTGGTAGTACCAGAATGCTTTACTTTGGCCACTCTGCTTTGATCCGAGGGCCAGAGTCCACCAAAAATCAAATAACATGCAATATTTTTCACATACAAACTTCAGCAAACAGTATTGAAGCCCATTTTGGAGTATAATATAACTGCTATGCCTTGATTTTATATTCCCTGATTGTGGTTTTGCATATTAAGAACAACTTGTGAATTGTGCTTGTGGCCTTACTACATCGCTTTGTTTTGCTGTGAGCAGACATAGATTAGCTTTCTGGTCTCATACTCTTTACCCTGACTGAGTGGTAAAATGACAGCAAGATTAGAGCCTGAGGGGACAAAGACATGTCAGCAATCCGGCTAAGTAATTAAGCAATGAAATTATAGGTATGACGAGTAGTTTCATTCAATTCTTAAATTTAAGTACAGCAGCTGCAATACAAGGCAAAACATGATAATATGCATAAATTGGGTGAGATATGATGGAAGGGAAGGCTTCTGTCCTCATCTTCCTACCCTTCAAAACAAGTAGTCAGCATGTATCAAAATCATTTTTAAGAAGTGTCCATCAACATACACTATTAAATTTTGTTTAAAAAAGCGCAAGTGGTGCTAACTGCTGAGACACTGAAGTTGAAATTCACACCAACAGAAGTTAGCTGTTGTAATCGTAAAATACCTACACCATACATTGCCCTCTTCAACAGAAGTTAATTCATATTTTACTGTGACAAACACAGATATATATGCATATACAAAAGTATGCTTAGTCTAGGTACTCCTAATAAACAGTTAATCTGATTTAAAGTAGACTGTCTTTTTTTTTTAATTGCTTTGACATACCTATGGAATTGGACATATATTAATCCCAGTACAAATAAACAGTACCCAGTACTAAGCTCTTAAAACCCAGATTTATGACAGAAATGTGGAGACAGACTCTTCAACAGGGGCAAGGCTTAGCAGCATTACAATAGATCAAGACAAAGTATTGTTCAACATCATTTTCTTCCTTCTCAATGGCATATCCAGCTGCCCCATAACATTTGTTACTAGAAGATTCTTTTCTTTGAAACTGCAGTTGCTGTTACTGTTGTCATTAAATCCTTAAAGAAAAAATACAAGGCCCTACTGCTGCTCTCTCCTTATGAACCAGCAAGTGAATAGAGATGAGCCAACACCTTAAGTATAAGCAAAGCTTTTAAGATGGTCTGCAGAAATAAATAGGATGTCTACAATACACACAAAGATACTGTTAATAACAAAGACGAAACTTTGATACGAAAAACCTACCTTAGGAGAAGAAGAAAGCTCCCTCGATGCAGGAATAGCTGACATGTTCTCACTCATGCCTGCCTCTGTCTTTGGCAAGAGGTTTGGTGGTTCAGGAGCTTTTCTTTTCATCTTCTTTTCTGGTTCTTGCAGTGGAGCAACTTTAATTAAAGCAGGGCTTGATTTTGGTTCATAAAATGGATTGGATCTAATTAAAAGAAGGGAAACATATTTCTTCGCTATCTCCTTGGAATTCAAACCAAAAATAAGATCTGTTCAGAGAAGCTGATGACTAAAATGCTTTTATCATCCACACAAGAATATATTTGCTTTTACATGCTTTTAGATACTCCTTTTTCATATGACTGAAAAAGTGAGCTACAACAGTTAAAACTGCATTTCTTTATATTTTATAATTTCCTGCAAATTACCTGTTATCAATTGCATAGAGCTAACTCTTCAATTATACTTAGCTATCTATCAAAGAGTGACCTAATTTACAGACAAACTCAATACCAACAAATCTGAGTGAAGTTGCTGGCTGTTGAATATTCTTTTGAACAGAATTATGAATGCTTCTTTAGAACTGAGTTAAGAATCAGGTCATTTTTAGATGCATGCTCCAACACGGCCTTAGAGGTCTCACTCTTGGCTGTCTGAGTCTCAAAATTTTGGCGTCCATATGTACACAATCCACATCGAGTGCACTTTATACTCCACAGCATACAGTCACCACACCATTTCAAGAACATTCTTTGGATATGAGAATAGTATAAGAAAACTACAACTGACTTGTGTATACCTCTTTATAGATACGAGTAGCCATCTTCTGTCTATTTTGAAAGTGCTTTTTACAACTAAACCTTGTTTAAGAAACACAGTAAACATCTTCCACCAACTGGATGCAACCTGAAGAATTATTCTTCTTCACTCTGGCATTCACGTTCCAACACCATATTTGTTCTACCCTAAGTAAATACTTCCACAGCATTTCCAAATTCGGTCTATTAGTTTGATACAGTAAATAATGGCTTCTACTATGCACTTAAAAGAGCCAGCAATTTTTTATTCTGCTAAGGATACTTATGGGAATCTTCTCTGCACAGAATTATTTTATTCATAATCTTTGCTTTTCATATTTTACAATCCAAAACCAGATAGTTAACTATGAAACTGATATGTTAATTAATTTCCTTCTAGTCCATACTTCCCCTGCAAGACATATCTCAAACTATGTTTATGTAACTAAGTCACTGCAATTCCCAAAGATCTATCTGCATATGGTTATATAAAGCGTGACTAATCATGACAAATAACCTCAGTCCCTTGAATTTAACTCTAGATAGAAACAATAATGCATCCAGCATTAGACAAGAGCCTACATAGCTAGACCCATTTACAAATTTCCTCTCAGCATAAGAGTTATGAGCTAGCACACACAGTTTTTAAAGAACTACAACAGCAAAATTTGGGCACAAGAAAAAAAATTACCCGTTCATGCAGTTTCCTTTCATACAACATCACATTTCTCTCAGTTTTGTGTACTTTTAGTACGAAAATATGTCTTTCAGTCTCATGGACTGATTTTAGATTTTATTTTAATGCAGTTTACCATCATCCTCTTTTCACTAAGAAAAAGCAAGCAATTAATAAACTACACTGCAGAAAATAAGTCTAAAGGGCAAAGTTTACTAAATCACATAAAAAAAAGACCAGGCTTAAAACCTCCAGACCTTTCCAAGAATCTACCAGTGCTTGTTACAGAGAAAGAGATCTAAATCCAGATGCTAAAGTGAAAGGAAGAACTAATGGTGAAATAACTCATCTGCTGACTGAAGGCAACTTTCAGGTGTTCCCACTTTGCTGCCCATCAAGGACAAAGTCACCAGTGCAATCAGAACTAAAGGCAACTTCAAAATAATGAGTTAAATAGAATGGATGGGCATTTTCCATGGGAGGCAGCAGAAAAAGGAGGGTATTCAGGTGGGAGTAGAGAATGCACCTAGCTGTCAGTAGCTCTAATTTAGCTGACAGCCCAGCTCAGCTGTCTTCAGACACCAGAAAGTTCAAAGGGAGGTGAAAATGAAGATAAAAGAGATAAAGACTGAAGAACAATGTGTTCAACAGGAGAGCACAAGGTTTTCTTTAGTTCAACAAGTTAGTCTTCTGAATAGCCAAGAGATGCAGCACATTTAGCAGGGAAGTAATTTACCTTTGTGTATTTCAAATTAGGAAAGTGTATTTGTCAGGTGTTAAAATTAATTTGGTGTGTGTGGGCGAAATCACTGATAGTAAAAAAGTTTGGAAGAATAATCTTTTGCATTTTTATGCTGCAGAACTGTCTGTGCTGTGTGGATAATCTTGAAGCACTGTACCCTACTGCAAGCCCCAGAAGGAAGTGCTATAAGGAGACAAGCTACTACCTTTTTTCCTAGAGGAGAACTTGCTTGAAAGCCAGGGTAAACCCTCATATTTTGGTCATAGTATAGGCAGAACACACACACACACACAGACACACACAGAGACACACACAGGGACACAATTTCCCACCTTCCCCTCTCTAACACTTTTAATTGGTGTTACAAATATTTAGAAAGATTTTTGAAAAGTTAAGTTTAATGCAGTCCTGGTTCCTGTTCAAAAAGGCTACACATTTTGAAGTCACTGGGGTCTGATATATGTAGCAGAGTTTGATCCAACAGTTGTACCAGAAACCAAGCATAGAGGAAAAGTCTGTCTGAAAAAAGCCTTAGCTGAAAGGTATTAAAGCACTTTTCTCTGAGGTTAGCTCCCATACTTTTTGCTTTTGTGAAGTTATTTAATTGATCCACATAACATGATTTGCCTAAAGAGATACCAGATTGTCCACCACAAAACTAAATAAAACCAAACCTCACAAACTACCTGGCATTAAGCCATCATGGTCTGGTGGGAGGTGTCCCTGCCCCTGGCAGGGGGGTTGGACCTGGATGATCTTTAAGGTGCCTTCCAACCCAAACCATTCTATGATCACTGGCAGCATGGTGGCTTGTGGCTTCTTGTGCAACAGGCAGCTTCAGTAGTTGGCAACTCGATAGTCTTTCCAATTAGACAGCATTATTCTAAGCCATACAACAATTAACAAGGTAAGAAGCCACAGAGCCAAATAATATGTGAAAAAAAGGTTTTATTCTGACCAATTTAAGTGTTATTTTGATCAGTGTCACTGGTTAACTGAAAAGAAAATTCAACATTTTATTGAGGAGGAAAAACAAAGTTGCCAGTGCGGTAGGGTTAAGAGATCAGGCAATATTACCAATCAGAAGTACTAGGGTTGAAAGAGCTATACTTTAAGTAGTTGTGAGCTATTTTCAAATTATTAAAGTTAGCTTGGCAAGGTGTGCTGTCCTTTATTAACTGGTGGTCACCTACCATTTTGATTTTAATGTATAAAATTTGAAAAGGCAAAAGCAGAATTTTACACTAACATTCAAGTGCCCAAACTAACAAAAATAGAATGTGTTCCTTTTCTCTAGCTATGTATGAGAATTTAGCCGGAGGAATTATGTTTTGTCAGTGTAGTTTTACAGCAGAATATATGTACTGCGTGATACAAGTCCCTCTGTACCATGCAGCAGCTCATTATGCTTATGCTTGTGACTACGCTTTGCTTATGTGTTGTGAAATCTTATGTTATCTTTATAACCATTAGAGAAATATTTTCCAATTAAGCCAATTACCCAAGGTAAATCCTTCACAGAGGCACAGTGAAGGTAAGTACCTTTTCCAAGATTACAACAAGAGTCTGTAACAAAACTGGAGTCAGAGTTCAGCTCTTGGGGCACTTGGTGTAAGCTCCGAGACCAGAATCAGAACTAAGGATCTACCAGAGTAGAGTGGGACAAGAGTCCCAGTGCTAACGGATGTGTCCATGTTCCCATGACACATCACTGCATTTCACACAAAATACGAGAGGAAAATGCCAAGCGGTGCATTCAATGAACTCCAATTAAACATTTAGCTGCAGGAGCAAAAATACATCGTATTTCCTCAGTGACAATAAATGTCTTTTAGGAGCCTTCTATTTCTCATGCCTTTCATCTGTCAGGTTTGAAACCACCCCTTTGGAAAGCACTGGACCAGAGGTAGTAAAAAATGATTTAAAACTACCCAAAACAACAAAACAAAAAATCAAAAGACAAGATGTTAGAAGTTGAAAATAATATGCAAAGTTTTCTAATGCCATGATATGACTCAGTTGTTCAGCCTTGTCTTGAATACACTGCTCAGGCCAAGTCAACACATTTTAAAATAGATATATAGCAGCAGAAATAACAGGATCCAGAGACGTGTGATGAAAACAATTAGAGACATGAAGAGACTTCTGTATGAAGAGAGATTGAAAAAATTAGCAGCATTTAACTCTGACAAGTGACAAGTAACGGTGAACAGGCTAGAGATATACAACACAGCAACTGTTTATGGCAGAAAAATCCAATACTACTTATTGCTGTTTTGATAAGCCAGCAGAAGAGACTGTGTATGGGACCAGAAAGGTAACTTATTTACAGTCAATAAAAGGAAACACATTTCATATAAGATCTTGTTTTCTTGTGGAACTCTCTGTCACAAATTGACACTAAAGCCTAGACTTTAATAGGATATGGAAGAAGATTAGCCAATTACGTAGATAATAAAAGCATCAATATTCACATTAGATAAGAAACAATACACATCTGGACATAAACCCTCATGATTTAGGACACACAAAAACTACCAATGGGCACTGCCTATGAAAATCTTTCATTTGGTGCTCACCATACCATACCTTAGCAGAAAAATTCTGCTGAAAAACTTGAAAAAATCATGACATGAGGTAAGGCATAACAGTGCTTGTAGGTGTGAGTTAGTATCACAAGTCCTGTGTTCCTAGACTGGAGTTTTATTATTACATTTACTCCTCCAGAGCATTTCATTAAAAAGATTCAATGGTTCTCCTTGCCACACTTCTACCCAATACATTTAACAAATGGCCTCCAGGTCCTTTTCAATGACATGGTGCTTCTGTAACCTGGGAGGAAAACATAGAGGGGAAGCTACTTCAGGGGTCAGGACATAAAACACTTATGTAAAAGATGTAAAAAACTATTTTACAGTGCTTTTTGACTCCTTATACTTCCATTTTTCCGTGGGACAATGCTTTTACAATGAAAGCACAGATCAGATTTATGTTCAAGTAGAATCCACCTATGGAGAGTTTATTTTTACCTTTAAAAAAAAAGAGGAATAAAAAGCAAATGGGGTCATTAAAGTAAGAAGGTGGCCATTGTAAACAAAAGGCTAGAGAAATCCGCAGTTCAGTACACAGCAAAAACAAGACTGCCTATTATAACAGCACTGTAAGCCCATTTGGCACAGGTTTGCCTAGAGTGGAAATGTGAGTATAAACATAAAACAGAAAATTCTTCACTTGCCCATCCATGCAGCTTTTGCTCATTCTGCTCTTCTCAGTTTTTGCTGTTCTCTATCCCCATATCTTTGTGGGTGTAAAGTATACATATTTTTTCCTCCCTGCAGATTCTGGTGATCAGTGACTGATGAGGGATGCCTGGTGCGACTGTCAAAAGTGTGATCACACTGTGCTCTGAAGACACAAGCAGCCAGTGCTGTGTTCAGGTAGGGCCCTGATGAATGGAGCTGGCAAAGACATCATTTCCCAATGCCCTTCCCCCCCCTTTTTTTTCCACAGAGAGAACAACAACAACAAATCCATGGACACAGAGCTTTAAAAGGAAAAAAACCCTCAGGGTCCTTTACACATTTCTCTTAGAGTGCATGGAAATTCTTCAATTTCCTAGAACACAGCTATAAACAGAGAAATATGAAGATGATGACACTTGGATTAATACTAAATATGAAAGCAATGCAAATGTCATGCCAATCTTGTTAAATAATGCGAAACAAAATGTTAATTACAGTTGCTGTCTGTAAAACTGTTCGTACGTAATCACCATAAACTGCCTCATGAGTGGTGTGTCTGGTGACTAATGACCACAAACAAGGAGTAAGTATATACCGTCAAACCTCACAAGCTGCACAGCTATTGCAAAAAGCTCTCATCCCTTGTTAGGTTTCTATACTGTAATACAAGGCAGTCAGTGTGAGTTTACAAAAGTTCATGTGTGGTTATGATAAAAGAAACAACCTAAGAAAGTTCATATGGTGTTATCTTTCCCATATGGAGATTCAGTTTTATGAGACTCTCAAAAACGTGCTATGCAGACTGCAAAATACTCTTCCTTTTTACACACTGCACCAATATAAAACTAACTCTCCATTATCATTAACAAAAATGATTCTTTTGTGTAGTAAAAATAATGGCAAAAAGGACAGGAAAGATGCTGCTCCTTAATTTTTGGCTCATTTGCAATTGGCAGGGCAGGAAGTGCCAAAAAGGTACACAGACTTGTCCCCTATCAAGTAATTTGCTATCAAGGAGGCAAAGAAAAGTTTCCTAACTGATCATGTTCAGCTGAACACCATGACTTGAGGGTATGGTATTTCCCGCTGCTGAGCTGAAGGTCAGCCTGTCCTAAGGAGGTGATTAAGGATCACCATGGTCTAACTTGATACATCTCAAGATTAAGCCAGGGATCCCACTAATGCTTCCAAAGCTGCTGAAAGATGAAGAAACATACTTACTCATCTAGCTCTTCCTCCTCAGTTTTAGAGGTATCTGCATAGAGATATTTGCTCATATCTACTGGTCTGACGTTTTTCCTTTTTGCAGGTTGTGGAGGAGAATGTCTTACAGTTACAAACATTTCAGGCTCAGGGTCAGGCTCATCAAATGGGTTCAAGTACTCTGGGGTATCTTCGTCCTTGAAGGGATTGTAATTGTCAGCAGAGAAACTTTCTTCTGGCTTTGAAGATGAAGCTATTTCAGTGTCCAGTTCTACCAATAACAAAAAAAATCATTACACAGATTTAACATAAAACATTTTGAAACCATTTTATAGTTTGAAGGCTTATGAAAAGGTCTGCTTCATAACTCTCAGTACAAAAAGTCATCGCCTTACATGAATTTTCACGCTTTATTTATTTACAAAATGACGTTGTTTATTAAAAAACAGGTCTTTCGAAAGGTCATTTCATCTAGAATATATTGAATAGGCTTCATTTTGTCACTCATTAAAGCACTTTCAACCCAATTAGTTATTAGTTTTCTTATTTGTCATATAAATGGTATTGCAACAGATTTAAGAACATCCTTCCAAGCTATTAGCCAATTTGTATCCTAACAAAATGTTCTTAATTATTTATTTGAGCTTTTAATGAAGAAAAAAGATATCCTACATTTTATACTAAAATTACTTTTACTGGATATTAAAAAGGGCGATAGTAAGTACGTGGTCTTTTCATTTCTTAAAATGACTAAAAATAATTCCTTAAATGAACTAAAAATCAGTTATTAGGTATGACCTGTAATTACATTTCAAAACATACATACTTTCACTGCTAACTGCTCCTGGTAACAATACATAGTCTCACAGTAAGAAATGAATTTAAAATAACCCTAAAGAGACAGATAATCAAATTACTCATCTATTATTTGGGCTGTACAACAAAAAGTTATTAGCAACCTGGAGATGCATGCAGTTCTTTAGAGTAACAGACACACAGAGAGAACATTACACAAAAGCAAATGGCTGCTGGATATTGAATAATACGAATTCCCATACAGCAATATACCATTTCTTACAAAGATACTTAGTAATGTTAATCTCACTCTTCCTGCAGCATCAAATGATCGCAAGCTCAGTTCAAGATTGGATTTGATCTGCTTTCAAAATCTATGCAAATAGGAACTTCAATACAGTGCTATTAAAGTCTGATTTTCAATAACCACTCCCACATTATTTTTAATGAAAAGTGTTTCTTTTTCAGATGTATGGTTACAAGACTGAAAAAAGCATACCATTTAGCTTTAAAAGAAAAACTAAATGTTATTTGTAGCAAGGCTCTTAAGAAGGAAAAGATGGAGTCCCAAGTGTGTTTGTCACTAAACAAATAATCAGGAAGACAAAATCACCAGTTACACAACTGACAAAAGGAAGGAGCAGCAAAAGAAACAGCACTGTTGTTACTGCCTTGGATGGATGATGTAATGAAGTTGCTAATCTTGGTGAACTGCTAGAAAATGTAAGTGTTCTCTACTCAGTCAGTAAATTTTCAGTTCATTCTGTCTCTGGCCAAGGCGACAGAAAGCCCTAACAAACACAGTGTGACTGACCATAATCTGCTGTTTGAACAAGAGCCACTCCTGGCTGAACAGGAATATGGTCCTCAGATGCAATGAGCAGCTTCGCACAGCTACGCATTGGACTAGTCAGCAGCCACTAGACCACGACAAAGTCTTGGAGCTGGAAAGGCCGTATTTCTTCTCAGAACAATTGAGACACACCAGGAACTGAAAAGGTTTCATTTTAGGTAGAACCTCACATTCACTGGGCACTTCTTCTTGGTTCTTCACATTCGAACTGCAAAGACTGTGTTAGCGTATTGTCTACTATACTATTTCTAAGGGTCTGTTTCTGAAGTGACGGATCATTTATTTACAGTCAGAAAATGAAAACCAAATGGGTTTGGCTGGAATAACAGAAAAAAAATTATCAAAATCTTACTTAAACCCAATGCAGACACTCACAAAATAAATCACTCCTCTGAGTTCAAGTGTGAGATCAGCTGGGTGAAAACAAAATAAAATTGTTCTTTGCTAGACAATACTGCAGGTTTTAACTGGTAGGCACACAACTATGCACAGTGCTTCTGCTAGTGGGATTTCCCTACGGCAATTATTCAGAAAATTACATTTTAAAATTCCTTTAATTCCCAATTATATTAGCAGTTTCCTATTCCTTCAGCAGCCTGGTCCAACTTAGCATTAAAGATGCAACACATACAGTACACATCTATTTCTTATGTATCTCATAAGTTCTTCTATTTAACTTCAAATACAGAATACAGCTATCACTGTTTCAAGCAAAAAACTGAAGTCAAAAAGGAGACTAAGAAAAAGCATAAATCAGACACTACACTGAAGTAAGATGAAATGAATGTAAAGTCAGATCACATGAAGTTATGATCAATGGTCAGTCTTTATACTGTCAGAACGTGTTGTGAAAAGAACTAATTAATCAAAATCCTTGTGACTAACAGAAAAAAACCAAATTATCAGGGTTGCAATAATAGCCTTGGGTAAACCTAAAAAATAGGTTCTATTACCATGTGAACTGGTTAACCCTCACCCGATTGTCATAAAGCAACATTTCAGCTGTGTTTTAGGAAATGGACATATAGACAAACCACTGCAGGATAAACCAGGGTGTGCATTTGCACTATGTCAGCTCTGGTGTATGTGTTCACTCCTACCCTACAGTAAATACAACATGCTTATCCCTTAATAAAAGGGAATACACTACTGGGCACTTACTCTGGGAGAAAGGGTAGTTACTGCACAGTAGGTGATGCGTCTTAAGCTCGTACCCTAGTTTATGTGTGGTGATTTGTTCACAAGCCTGCATCCTTACAAGAAAGATGTTTCAGAGAAAGCCCTCAGTAAAATAATATTGAAGGTCTACAGTTTAACTGACGGGAAAATAAATCAGACATGGTAGAAATTCTTAAAAACACAAATATGATCAAATCCTTTGTCAGTGTTATAGGTGAAATACATCAGAGCAGAGCCCAACATTTTAAACATAGTTTTTCATTTATTTTACACTAAAACAGGAAAAAAGGTCATACACTGGCTGGCTTACATCACTCTAGCATTCAGTACAGGTGGTCATGACAAGCAGAAGTTTCACTCTGCTTGGCCTGGGATGTCCTGAGTGTGGGTATCTACAGCTGAGCTAATCGTCTCAATCCTTTACAGTCAAAGGTTCCAGGTATATGTTCAAACTAATGTTAATGTCTAAAATCAGGTGAGCTATCCATGCCTTACTGGGTGGATATGCACGAATTGAAGCACATGGCAGCTCAGATACTACTCAAGTGTCACCCACATACTTAGAGATTTGAGGGACTAGGCCATGCAGAAATGCTTTTGAGATCTGTTTTAAAAAGACAGTTTCATATAAAAAGCAGAAGTAACTTAACGAAATGCACAATAATGACCAATGTATGTCTTGTTCAAATTGTGCAACTTGCTGACAATGTATTAACCAAAACTTTTGCTACTTTAAACCTTGTTCAAATCTTGAAATATTTTATCAAGAGACCGCACAACTACTAACACCTGCTTCTGCACCCGCATATGCATCTGTTGATAAATACACATTATCATATTTGAGCAAAACTTGCTGATAACTCACAAGCAGTATTCAAACAAATATTACTAGAAGGAACATCAGTAATATTTCCTTAAATTAAAAACATTCAGAGAAACAATCTCTTAAAACAATGCTGAAAGCTTTTATTTTAAATTTGCTTTTAAGTATCTCCTAAAATTCTTGTTTATATCTGATAAATTTTAAGGGACAATGCAAATGTTTTTGCAACTCCTATTTCAACACTGTGGATCAAGTGCTGTAGACATTAGTCAGGACAAAATTCTTTCTCTTGTTCATTGGATTAACAGTAACTACAAGTTTGTCCTTATACACAGAGTATTGAAGACCAGTGCTGAGACATCTTTGGCTTATTATTAAATAAAAGATTTCAGAAAATCCTACACACAGGCTAAAATTAAAAGAACTTCTAAAAGTATCATTTTCAAGACACTTTGAGAGAGAGAGTTTTGGAGGGGTACAACTAGAACCCACTTAACTCGGCTGCTCATTCTCGCTGCTCCTGTCATCCAGGATTCTGATTTTTGTATTTTTTTTTTCCCCTCTGGTTCCTTTGAAATTCTCACAGGAGAGAGGGTCCCCACCTGAACCCACACCTAACCAGGCTATCTCCCGTGGGGTCTCTGGAACAATTTAGGGCTAGCTTTTATGTTAAGTGCTGGTCATCACTTTGTAAGCTTCTCCCTAACAAATTCAACTGCTAGGACTGACTCAGCAACACTGCTCTTAAAGCTGAAGCCGCTGTTACTTTTGCTGTATCAGACACTCATATTTTCTAAAGCATCTAATGATGTTGGGAAGTGTATTTGGGTGGGCTGAACACACAAACAGCAAAAAAAGATGTTTGCAGTTTGGCACTTCAAGGGTCAAACCCACAATAATTTTGCATGGTTAAGTAATAAAGCCACAGGGGTAGGAGTGACAAGAGGAGAGGTAGAAGTATTACTACAACAGAAGCACCAGCTGCTCTTGTGCCAGATTCTGGAAACAACACTTGCCCTAAACTCCACTGAGAAAGCCTGCTTGTGATAGTAATCACTCTGGCACTACCTATCTGCATATTCAGTCTTCTAATTCCCAGAGGATCTCCAGAAATCACCCTCCCCTTCTACCCACTTGCCTTTTGTAACACAAACATATTGTGACACATCCCTTAAAACCAAACAAAACCCCCACCAAAACATTACGCATACTACTTTCCCCTTGGCAAAGGATGAAAGAACAAGCCACATGTGAAAGATACTTAGTTATGCCATTTACTGTACTACTGGCAAGCACACAGTCACAATGGCGATGTGAGCAGCGTAACAAACAGCACAGAATAAAGATGTTACTTTCCAGTACTTCTAGAAAGCACAATGACTGGCGTCCCTATAAACCAGTAATGATTTTATATCACTTCTATTAATATTCACACCAACAACACATTGCATTTCATTAGGAAATATAAGGAGAAGAGACAGAATAATCAGTTTCCTCTATATTGGTTCTTGTACTGCTCTCCTTAGGACTATCCTAGAAAGATTATGGGGTTTGGTATTGCACTGTAGCACTGTTTTCATTTGCCATGTAACACATGCTGCAGGGAGCTCAGAAATCTACACACAAGGTAAAAACAATCAAACAAACAAAATCCAACCAAAAAAAACCAGTAAGGTAAATGCTGTTTTAAACGAAAGAGAGAGGCAGTGCCAGCAAATAGTTACCCTGATGCCTGAAGTGTGTTGCAGGAAACTTGTATTCGTCATATGCAACTTCAAAATTTGCATTCCCCACCTAATTAAAAAAAATATCTGGAGCACCGAAAGTGTTTTGTAGTTTTCTATTTGAATTTGATATACATGCTGACTTCCAGAAGTAAAATATTTTGAAAAAAAATTAACTGATTTTAGAGTTCTGTTGTAACATGACTAAAAGGCAGTCCTCATGTGATCAGCTACATACTGTCTAGTATAAACGTGTACAGACTGCTTGAACAGATTTTTTTATTTTCCAGATTCCTAATGTCTAGCCATTCTATTAGATACAGAGAGAATAAACCTCAATTCAACACGTCAAGCAAGAGACAGATTGAAAGGCTTCATTTCTGAAAGGCTTCATGTCCAAGGCTGAAGGTTTTTTGAGGTGAGTTGTTCATATGCACATTCGCTCCATTGTGCATATAAGATCACTTACACTAAGGACTTTTTAAAGCACAGCAACATCCAGAGACAGCTTGCTGATGACCCTCTGCCATGCACCATACCCAGAGTGCGCACATGGATGCTGGGAGCACTCATGCTTTTAGTTTCTCTCCAACCCACATTCCTAAGGTTAGATGATTATGGGATTAGGAAGATAGAGGGAAAGTAGCCGGTTTGTGCACAGGCACAAGAAATATCTGTCTAGGAAACAAGTATCTACTGACAAGTAATCCTCCTTTCTCTTTGAGTGACTGTCAATACACACATATTCATACCCTGGGTGACTCAAAACTCTTTTTCACTAAGCACACACGCTACAGGCTTGATAGGAATATCGCTGGAGTATCTGCCAAATGGCACTTCATGCCTCCTAGTGTCTGATAGAAAAGTACTCAGGAAAGGAGGCTCCAGATGGCTACTCTGCACTTCTTGAGGAAATTAAGAAACAAATTCTAGGAAAGACTCTGAACTTTCACAAAGTCTAAATTCAAGATTTTGCCTTGTCCAGATAAAAAGATAAAGCAGACTAACATCTAATGAATAGAAAAATACTTCATCTCTGCACACATAAAAGGTGAATCTTTTGATTTAAGCAGATCACAAGACAAGTGAAACAGGTAACATGACTCTTCAAGCTTCCAGAAGAAAGTCTGCTTTAAACTCCTGAACCTCTGTCATGCTCCTAAGCTCCTGGGGTGGCCACCACAAAGGTCATATTCACTTAAGGATGCAAAAGCAAACACGCGGGCATAGTCTCTAAGGGCTTCCTATAAAGAGATGGCAGCAGTGAAAGCCTCACTGAGTTCTCAAAGTAGAAGAAATGTCCTAAACCATGAGAGAACATACCTGTGGCCAAACAGGAAACAAACAGGGCAGTCTTCTGTAGTAGAGTGACAGGGTAAGAACAGCCTTGATATTGTGTAGCTTCAAAATGTACTCCAACAGAAAGGGAAAGCTCCCAAGAACTGTAAGGTCTAGGTGCACCCCATATAGAGATACTGATCCAGTTAGTCATAGACATATATAACAGATTTTTGATGCTGCTGAAGACCAGAACTGTCTTAACTGATTTGTCTCCACAACGTTTTTCTCCTCAGCTTTCTGTAAAGGAAGAGGACTGGAGGAAAGATACATGTCAAGGACAAGCAAGGGAAAATTAACATAACCAGTGCCCATTACTGGGAGAAGACACCTTACTGGGAGAAGAAACCCCTGGGGTGGAATAGCCAAAACTTCTCAGAGGTGTCTTGAGGTGACTAGAAGAATCCCTGTGGAGCCACAATCATAAAGTAAAAGCTTTTAAAATGTCACATCAGATGTCCCACTCTTGGTCTGACAGCCTGAAATGCCTCAAATGCCTCATATCTTCTACTTGGTTCAGTGGTCCATGAAGATTTACTGCTATCACATGAACCTGACAGAAGCTTCATCTCTCTCAAATAAAAAAAACACCTTATGACACAGTAGGAATAATCTAGTGACACCCTGTTTATAAAAATCACTGTCATGTACGTTGACTGTTGCATGATGGTGACAATGCGTGGGAGGAATATTTTGTACACACACACCCAACAACTCAGCATTGCTGCCCACAACTGTGTTGCTGCGACTTCTTTAGGGACCCAACATTCTGAGCCCTGAGACTGTCCAAGTACACAAAATACATCCAGAGGAATGGAGAAGTGTCTATGACTGTGCCACCAAAGCGACCAGAATCAACTGAAAAAGATGTCCCACGTATGCTGGGAGTCTTTTGAGAACATAAGCAGGCTGGCATCTTGGATGCAGGCTGCTCATAGTGAACTTGACATGAAGCATAAAGCTACACTGGCACTAAGAAACAAGGCCAGTTTATAACTCCCCGTCCCTGAGATGAAAAGGAACTGACTCTTAGTCCCTACATTTTGTGGTTAGAATACCTGCTGCTTTCTGCCAGAGCAAGTTCTCTCTAAGAGGGAAAGAAAAGCATTCCTGTGTGACCCACTCTAGGTGATCCTGCTCTGGCAGGGGGGTTGGACTGGATGATCTTTTGAGGTCCCATCCAACTCCTAACATTCTGTGATTCTGTGAAAAGCTGGGTTTGGAAGACAGCAGTTTAGGTAGGATGGCACTTGTACAGGTTTCTTCGGGGAGAAGGCAGCTCTTCTTTCTGGAGCAGAGAAGGAAGAAAGGAAGAGTGAAAAATAGGCTGAGTCTCTTAGGGCAAGTTGTGTATGGACAACTAGATGGATAAGAATAGGTGTTTTATATCTCTGGTTAATCTGCCTCCTTCCACGATCCTAAGGAATTCACAGCCCAGGAATGAACAAAGGTCCAAGCAGCAGAACCTAATTCATATATATTGGTATCTAGAAAGCTGAAGGTGCCCTGGATAGTGACTTTATGGCTTCAATGGCCAAATACAGAAGACAGTGCAACGCCCCTGTTTGAGAAATACAAGCTACGAGACCACACCACAGCCAAAGTATGACAATACTTTGATCAACACTCACATTGGCCTCTGTGGACTCCAAAGGCAGAAAACCCATGTTGTGAGTAAACATTCAGCTTGTCCAGAGAACAAGAGTAACCGCAGGTGGAAACTGCAGCTCAGGAATGCGTCCTCATTAGACCTGGCACTAGAAATACCCTGGCTGTATCCTGTGCTGCTCCTGCTCAATGTAGTTCTTCTCCACCATCATTACAGAGTGGCTCCTGGGGTTTGGTCAAAGGTGGCTCCCTGGTATTTTTGGAGGGAAGAAAAGTCTTGGAGCATTGAGCAGGAAAGGCTGAATACAACTTCAAACTTGGGAATTAACTATGGATTGGTATTTCAAGCAGCTGCAAACTAAGAAAGTCATATACTTTTTTTTGATGGCAGCAGATGATGGCCTGCATATTTGAACACGGAGCTGAGGACAGCAGAGATGCCTGCTATCTTGGAGCTCTTTTCTGGCCTTATGGCCAAATTCTTATCAGATTAAAAACTTACAGGGGTTGTATTTCTCACTCAAACAGAACAAGAATGGGCACGTCAGTCTGGAAAGGAGATTAACACCTACCATGTGGTGCAAGGCACGATGCCAGAAGGCTTATGAGGAAACCATAAAAGCAAAAAAAGAAGAATGAAAGAGAAATAATTAGATGATAATAATGAAGATTAGTGCTAACCAAGAATCGCTGTGATGCAGTGAAGATTGAAGCAAAAGAAGTTCTGATAGAAACCAGCATCCACATGGAACAGAGTCACTTGACAGTACGTGTGTTGCTCATTTATACCACATGAGGTGAGTACTAGTGACACATCTGAGAGGTCTAAATGTCTCTGGTTCAACTCTTAGCTGATAGCCCCCAGCGGCAAATACACATAAGGATGTGACTCAAAGGATGAACCCATTTTCCAGTGGCAACTGGATCACTGCTATTGCTACCTCAGTACTGCATGCAATAATTGTATTTAATCAAAATAACATTTTTCATTTGCAGCCCTACAAAAACAAAATCATGTTTCATTAAGCATTTGCAATTAGCAATGAATTATGAAAAAGAAATCTATTACCTTCTACATCAGGGTCTCCAAATGGATTTAATTCTGCTGTGTCAGGATCACCAAAAGGGTTCGTACTAGAGTTGGCCAGGTCTTGCTCCTCTTCATCCAGAAAATTAAGCTTATTGATAAGCTCTACAAACAATTTAGAATATTGTTTTAATACAGATACAAACTGTTGATCTAACATATTTCAAGCTCAACAAACCGCCGTATCAACAGTCCCTTGAAACACTGCATCAGGGTATGGCATGAACTGCACAACTACACTTCAGTAAGTACACCAAAAGAGGAGAAAAAAAAAAGTGAAATGAATGAAACTTCTATTCGCTGATCGTTATGTAACAGAAATGACTCCTAAGAAAGCCTTCTATTATCTTCATTGAACAAATGCTGCAGAACATCTAACAAGCTAAATACAGTGATTTCTTTTTGGATGTTCACATACATGTTAACTATGGGCAGGAAATTTTAATTTTTGGATTATTTAACATGCACGCAAATTAAGAGAGGGGACATTTTGTCACATTAGAGAGGTCAAGTATTACTGACTGCACAATTAATATTTACGGCTTGGGGTCTGGAGCTTTGGGGGTTTTCGAAATTTTTTTTCTTACTTGTTCATTATCAGATGACAACAGAGCTGCAGACGAGATAGGCTCTCTATCATGTTGTTACCTGTTGGATGCACTACAAATTACTGAGAGTCATGCTGGGTGGAAGCACAGAGCTAAAACTGACAGCTGAATACAGGCAGGAGTCAAAAGGTAACAGGTCAGAGTAAATACAGACAATCAGAAACAGAAAGAAAGAAGGAAAGCTCATAGACCTTCAGAGGAACTGGCTGATTTAGCTGAAGGCATATTTGCTTGCTTTATGCAGTCATCTTGATCTTCATCTAAGCTGCTCAGAGCATTCAACTGGTTTACAATTTCTGTAAATAGAAGCCAGTCAAGACAAACGTAAGGCAAGGGCATTTAATGAAACAGAAGTGGAACG